AAAAAAAAAAAAAAAAGCAGGGGGCAGAGCTATATTTTACTGACAGAGGAAGAGTTCCAATTGTATTTAATCTTTAAAAACAAAAGCAAGCTGCAGAACCATACATACAGTCTAGGTGCACATAGGTTACATTTTATTCAGGTGATCTCTATGTATATAGGTATATGTGTGTGTATTCGTATGTATACGTACAGAAAGGTAATTTGTAAAGACACACCCACCCTGGCCACTAGCCATGAGCCCTCCCAGGTGGGTGTGGGACATGAGGAAGACCTCAGGAGAGCATTCACATATGCTCTACAAATTTTGTTGCTTGAGTCTTTTTTTGTTTTTAACTTAGTTTTAAGAGACCCTCTATGTTGCCCAGGCAGCAGTGCTGTGGCTATTCACAGACACAATCATCATGCGCTAAAGCCCCGAGGCTGGGCTCAAACGGTCCACCTGCCTCAGCCTCCTGAGTAGCTGGGAATAAGGTGTGTGCCACTGCGCTGAGCTTGAATGTTTTGCAAAGAGTAAAGAAATTAGAAGAACATTTTTTTAAGGCAGAGATGCTCATTTAAGTGTCTTTCTGCATTAATTCTCAGCCTATTAGGTATATAATTGCAGTGAGGGCAGACCCAAAAAAGGGAGACTATAGTTCAGTGGCAGAGGCAACGTGTCCCGTGGCTCTCTGAGAAATACCAAGCCATGAATATGAACCGTCTAGTCTCGGGATCATAGACACAGGTAAGAATATTAGGGGCAAACATGACCACTGAACAGTTCAAGAGCCATAAACAACAGGACAGGATAAATCCGGAGCAAGAGCTGCTTCCAGAGGCCATTCATAGTGCGCCTGTGGGCCTCAACACTAAGCAGCCCTGCCCCAGTCCTGGCCAGGTGTTCTGTGCAACAGGGCACGGGGAGGAGGGCCAGCGAAAGACGCCGGGTTACCTTGCATGAGCACCTCCATGGCTGTCCGCGGCTTCGACAGCCGCCTCTCTTCCAACTCACTGTCAGATTCATCGTCCTCCTGGATGTCTACGTCCGAGTCATCATTACCTGGCAGGAACACAAGCAGGCCAAACAAAGGAGTGGCTTCATCATCACAACTCAACAGCTCTGCCCGAAGTAAAGTTTGTGTGCAAAAGTCATTTGTACTTCTAGCCTTTCTTTAGATGCATTAGATTTTATGAGTCTCGCTGGATTTGCCAGTAGATGCTTAGTGAAGACCTAATGTGGACAATGATGTGCTGTGTTTTGTTTAAAAAAAAATTTCTAAATTTCCAAAGCAAGAAAAAAGTGGGTCAGATATGTTAGTCAGAAACAGCACTACAGTCATCAGAACAGCACCGCTGACTCCTCCAATCCCATCCTTCCAAAACCTGCATGGTTCCCTGGGTGCAGAGAAGTCAGTGCCAGGCAGTGAGGTCTTTACATATTCTCTGCAAAGACTTTTGGAAAATGATAGTCTTCAAGCTAATTGTGGGGAAGCCCTTGAAGGAAATCTGAGATTGTAAAAACTGAATATCCAGCTGTCAAGTGCTTGGTTAGTTCAGGGAAAAACCCATTCTCTGTCCAATGTTAGGCTGTATTACCAGAACTCGAGCTCCTATATCGTGACAAAGATGAGGAAGTGGAGTCTGCTAAAAAGGTAACAAAAAAGCCTGGAGGCAGGAGGCCAGGGTAGGAATGGCACCAGTGAGGCTCCCCTGAGGAGGATGATCCTAGTGACTGGCAGTGAAAGCTGGTGATGCGATGCTCTCCCCTGGGGAAAATCCCATCATAAAGACAGATTTTTCCAAAGTAATTTTTTCTTTTCTTTTTTTTTTTTTTTGAGACAGTGTCTCGCTCTGTCACCCAGGCCGGACTGCAGTGGCGTAATTTTGGCTCACTGCAACCTCCACCTCCAGGATTCAAATGAGTCTCCTGCCTCAGCCTCCCGAGCAGCTACGACATCAGGCATGTGCCACCAAGCCTAATTTGTTGTATTTTTAGTAGAGATAGGGCACCACCATGTTAGTCAGGATGGGCTCGATCTCCTCACCTTGCGATCTGCCCACCTTGGCCTCCCAAAGTGCTGGGATTACAGGTGTGAGCCACTGCACCTAGCCCCAAAGTCATTTTCAATGGAACAGCTCTTTATATTACTTTCTTAAATACATTCTTTGGAGTCTTGCACCCACAGGTTGAATATTTCCTAAAGGGAACCTACAGAAGGAGTCTCTACTGCAGGGAGAAAGACCTTTCACTGCCTGGCACCTGAGTTCTCTGCACCCAGGGAGCCACAAAGGTTTTGTAAGGATGGACTTGGAGGAGCCTGCAGTTGCTGTTCTGATGACTGATTCAGAAGTTAGTTTGGAGGAACAGTAATTGTTAGTCTGCCAAAAGGCTTTGCTTTGCCCTTGCTACAAGAGGGTAATATGGCTGGGTGTGGTGGCTCACGCCTGTATCCCAGCACTTTGGGAGGCTGAGGTGGGCGGATCACCTGAGGTCAGGAGTTCAAGACCAGCCTGGCCAACATTGGGAGAGAAACATTAATGAACAAAAAAAAGGAAGTTCCTAATGCCACAGTGCTGAATCCTGCATAGGGCACAGTAACAAATTTGCCACCAGCAATGAGGTTTAGAGAGACAGTGGGCAGATGAGGAGATGCTTCTGGCTTTTATTACAGGATATCTGAACAAAGCACTTGGCCATGCTGCTCTCTGAGCCCCCGATGGCATTCTCCCCATCTCTGGTCACCTCTTTCTTCTATACCCCCCGTCTCAGACTTTCTCTCTTCCTCAAGTCCCCTATGCCAAACAAACCCTATCACCGAATCCCAGATGAATTCACATCCTACTTAATAAAGATGGTATCCATCAGATGGGACCACTTCAAGCATGTGACCCACCTTCCAGCTCACCTGACCTGCCTGGCTGGAGTCCTGTGGTTCACACATTTCCTCACTCAGCCAAACGCATCTCCTCACCTGGGCGTCCAACTTTTGGGGGGCTTTCCTCATCTGCTGTCTCCTTTCTCTCCAGCTCCACCGACTTAGTCTTAGCTCAAGTAGCATCTCCTCAGTGAGGCCTACCCTGACTCCATTTAAAACTGCAATTCTATCATCCGTCTCCCCACCCCATCCTTTTTCATTCTATGTTTCCCCCATAGCAGTATTCCCCTTCCAACATACAGACAGCTCAGTGCTCACTGTTTCTCTCCTCTTACTGGAATATAAAATCAGTTAAGGCAAAGACTCCTGTCCTTTGTCCACCGATATATCCTCAGCATCCAGGACAGATAATAATACTTTGTTGTGGCTGGACATGGTGGCGCATGCCTGTAGTCCCAGCTATCCTGGAGACTGAGGCAGGAGGACCGCTTGAGCCCAGGACTTGAGCAGACAGTCAAGTCCAGCCTGGGCAACACAGAAGAACCCCCAAAATAACAAAAACTGTGTTGGATTCAATCTGCTGTCTGTAGAGCAGATGGAACAAGAGGATCTCTTTGAGCTTTTGGCTTTTGTTCATTCTTGCCCTCACTTCAAGTTTATGCACCACTAAATTTTCTGTTCAGAGGAGTCTTTCATAGATGGAGAAAAAAATCACAAAGTCCTCATTCCTACATTTCCCCTCTGATCCCAATACTGTGGACCACAATCCCACATGTGCAGGAAAGCAAAGATGAATCGAACAGCATCTTCAGAAATTCAGAATGAACAGAACTGAAAATTGTCCTGCATAAAGATTTTCCTAACTTCTTTGTCCACCCCAAGATAAAGTGTTACCCTTCATTATGTTTATTTAAATTAGAAATTATTTTTCTGAGAAAACTGAATCACATATGCTCATGTGAGTCTTTGTCCCTCAAGAGATCGCAGACCTACAGATCACCAAATTAAAGTGTGAGTTCAAAAGAATAAAGCAAGATCAGCATGGTAGGTCTCAGCACCCTGGCCCGGGGAAAGAATGGGATGCAAGTAACCAACCAGGGCTCTTACATGAGCCGGGCCTCTCAGAAGGGATAAACCCCATGCAGGCTGATCACTGATGGCTGCCTCACACTCTTCTGGCTGACAAGGAATTAAAAAAGGGGAGGGCAGCTTTGGCTAGACAGGCCCTTCAAATTTCCTAACCTTGTTCCTAGAGCATTTCCCAGCAGTCCCTATTCTTCCACCGGGGTTTCCTGAGATTCAGATGATAGAGTCATAGAACAGGGGCAAAATGAGACAGAAACAAGGGAAATGGCAAAGAAAGAGAAACAGAGAGAGAAAAAGCATACATGGGAAGAAGCATGTGTGTGGGCCTGAGGCCTCAAGTATGCTGTCCTCAACGTTGAGAGCAAATAGAATATTTCACCAAGAAGAAAAGAGAGAGCAATCAGGAAGAGGGGGAGAAACTTTGTGCAACAAGGCCACCAATTCAGCAGGAAGCTCCTGCCTGGCTGCTACTGGCCTCTGACACAGACTTGACACTGAGTTCACGGATAAGAGAATCTGACTGGTCACAGAGCGCACTCCTTCCCGGAATCGAGGCCTTGTATGGACATAACCCTGTGTCTCTCCAGGTGAGTGTCTTGCTCAGCCATTCTGGTGGGGAGCATCTCAGCAGTGTTGGGACCATCACGAAGCGAGTGGCCCCTCTGCCCGCACCGAATCCCAGTGCTTGGTTTCCATCAGTCGGCCCCAAAATACAGAACACTACACACCTCTAGGACCACATTTTCTTACAGTTACGTATCATATATAATTCAAACTATCATTTAAACAGGGGAAAATGCTACCTTAATTGGCATAAGAAAGAAATGTGTTTTAAATGCTGTATTTAAACCAGACTCTTGAGTGAATACAATGGTACCCAATACGGAATCTGTGAGAAAATTGCCTTTTGAAAATATTTTTGCTCCTATGGTCAACAATTTTTTATGCTTTTCAAAACTGAAGATATAAAGTATTGTTACCACAGCTAAAAAAAAAAAAAAAAAAAAAAAAAAAAAAAAAAAAAAAAAAAAAAAAAAAAAAAAAAGCTGAAAAAACTAAAAGAAGAAAATACGTATTTTAAAACATACATATATTTCAAGGCTGAAAAATGCTAGTCCAGAGCAAACCGCTTGTCTGCAAAGCCCAGCCTTACTTCCACTCTTGAGCAGGCGCTTCTCTTCCTCCTTGAGCTTGTTCTGTATCAGGCAGAGGGTGTTTTTAGCCTCCTGTGGAAGAGGAAAAACAGACTCAGGAGAGATGGCCCTTTTCTGGACTGTTCTAATCTTCTTCACTCTCACACCTAACACTCTGCTTTGTAAGGACTACTAAGTTTGTGCTACAGAACAAGAAAAGAGCTAAACTCAAGGAAGGGGAAGAGAATTAACACTGCCTGGGCAACTCCAGTGTCCCAAAACTTGTTGCTCTCTTTCTCTCTGAGGTCACCTGGTGGCCTGGTGGACAGGGGCGCCCAGAGTGAAGCAGCTGCCTCACCCCCAAGCTTCTCCAACTGCATGTCCCTGCTTCTGAGGAGAGTTAAATGCCCACATGTGTGCCTGGATGGCCTGGGGACACAGAACAGACACATCTAACTTTAGGAAAGAAACAGACATAGAGATTTTATCATTTATCTTCCCTGCCCTGCCTTCAGATTTCAGCTCAAAAGATGCTAAATGATGGGACAGATCAAGATGGGAAGAGAAAGAAAGAAATGCTAATCTTAATTCCTGGGGTGGGGACAGGAGGAGGAAATATCTCAGGTCATAAAATGTGGCCCTGAGGCCAGGCGCGGTGGCTCACGCCTGTAATCCCAGTACTTTGGGAGACCGAGGCGGGTGGATCACGAGGTCAAGAGATTGAGACCATCCTGGTCAACATGGTGAAACCCCGTCTCTACTAAAAATACAAAAAATCAGCTGGGCATGGTGGTGCATGCCTGTAATCCCAGCTACTCAGGAGGCTGAGGCAGGAGAATTGCCTGAACCCAGGAGGCGGAGGTTGCGGTGAGCCGAGATCGCGCCATTGCACTCCAGCCTGGGTAACATGAGTGAAACTCCGTCTCAAAAAAAAAAAAAAAAAAAAAAAAAAAAAAAATGTGGCCCTGATTATTATCAAGAAAGAAAATGGGGGCTGGGCATGGTGGCTTACACCTGTAACCCCCATGCCTTGGGAGGCCAAGGCAAGGAGGATCACTTGAGCCCAGGAGGTCTGAGGCTACAGTGAGCTATGATCACAGCCTGTGCTCCAGACAGAGTAGCAGGCAACAGAGTGAGACCCTATTGAGAAAGAGACATAGAGACAGAGAGAGAGAGACAGAGACAGACATGGAGGGAGGGAGAGAGAAAACTGGCTTTTAAATATTGTTGTTCTAAACAGTAAAAATAAAGCACTGTGTTTCAGGCATGGAGGTCTCAAGGTAACAGGTATTCTAAGGACAGAAAGTGAGAGTAAGTAGGAGAAAAAGAGACGTACTTGTTGAAGAAAGGGTGGGGTAGAGGGGCTCCGTTGGAAGTTACCAAGGCCACCTACCCACCATTCTGAGGCATATTGTTTGGTTTGTTCTCTGAACCCAGAGGTGGCCCCAGATGCTACAACAAAATGGCCAAGATTTCTTTTCACTGCCCTTGACTGTTCTTTCCCAGGTACCCAAATATTTAAGATGTTCTAAACTCCAGACTCTTTCCAGTGCCCTCGAAATATGCCTGTCCTGTATCGTTTCTCCATGGCCTGCCTGTGGCACAGAGTAATGCTAGTAACGAATTCCTCGCCCAGATGACATGTGTCCACACAGATGCATTAGGTGCTCCCAGTTAGCCCTCCTGGACGACAAAACAGCTCTGCTCAACTCAAATGCCCAGGCTTGTAAGAAGCCTAGCATAACCTTAATACCAAAAGCTGTCAAGGGCATGAGAAACAGAGGCTGCAGACTAATTTCATCATGAAAATGGAGTCTAAATGACCATTCTCAGGTTAAGCAGAAGTATCCCCAAGGGATAGGACAATTCAGAAATTGATTACAACTTGGTTCAATTTCCTTTGCTCTGAACTCCACATTTATCAGCTCATGCTAGGGTATGAAATAGTCTTTCCTAAATGGGCTTACCCACTGGGATGAGAGGTACCTGTAAGACAGTTGGTCAGATTTAAGGCCATATATATTTCCCACAATCAATCAATAAACTGTAATTCCTCTTTATAAAACAGTCTCTAATGAGCTGTTTTGGTGATTTAATTAACCAGGACTTGAAGATCTTTTTTTTGAGATGGTGTCTTGCTCTGTTGCCCAGGCTACAGTACAGTGGTGCGATCTCGGCTCACTGTAACCTCCACCTCCCAGATTCAAGTGATTCTCCTGCCTTAGCCTTCTGAGTGGCTAGGACTACAGGCGCCCGCCACTGCGCCCAGCTAATTTTTGTATTGTTAGTAGAGATAGGGTTTCACCATCTTGGCCAGGCTGGTCTCAAACTCCTGACCTCAAGTGATCTACCCGCCTCAGCCTCCCAAAGTGCTGGGATTATAAGTGTCAGCCACCATGCCTGGCTCTTTTTTTTTTTCCTGAGACAGAGTCTTGCTCTGTCAACCAAGCTGGAGTACAGTGGCATGACCATGGCTCACTGCAATTTCAAACTCCTAGGCTCAAGCAATCCTCCCATCTCAGCCTCCCAAGTAGCTGGGAACACAGGTATGCAACATCATGCCCAGCTAATTTCATTTTCTTCTTTGTAGAGACAGGGTCTCACTATGTTGCCTAAACTGGTCTTGGACTCCTGGACTTCAGTGATCCTTCTGCCTAAGTCTCTCAAAGTGCTGGGATTATAGGTATAAGCCATTGGCACCTGGCCTTGAAAATCTTTATGTGAACTGACCGAGCAGGCTTTATTTTTTCATTTTTTGGAGATGGAGTCTTGCTCTGTTGCCCAGGCTGGAGTGTAGTGGCACAATCTTGGCAACCTCTGCCTCCTGGGTTCAAGCAATTCTCCTGCCTCAGCCTCGCGAGTAGCTGGGACTACAGGCACGTGCCACCATGCCCAGCTAATTTTTGTATTTCCAGTGGAGACGGGGTTTTACCATGTTGGCCAGGCTGGTCTCGACCCCCTGACCTCAAGTAATCCACCCACCTTGGCCTCCCGAAGCCAAGCAAGCTTTTAAATCTGCACTCGAGACCAGCTACATAATTTGTGGGATTGGTGCAAAATAAAATGCACTCAGAAATTATTATGAGTTTCAAGATGGTGACAACAGAGCCTGAAAGCAAGCAATGGCTCCTCTAGGGGCAGAGTGTTATGCAATCGCACAGGCCTCAAGTCAGCCTTGTCTGTACTTTTAACTGACTAAATCTGATGGAACATGGCACTGAATATTTGACAGCCCTGGAGTCCACGAAGGTACACTACCAGCAAAACCAACGAACTACACGAGCAGCCCTCAGACTGACCAAGGAGAAGCAAAATGTACTGATATGCTTTTCACAATGATATTAACAACATGACTTGTCACCAAGTACAAAATAACACACCAGAACAGAGGACAGGCTAAGCTCACCTCAAATCTTTCTTGCTCCATTCTATGGTGGTCTTCAAGCTGTTGTTCCAGGTAAGTCAGATTTTGAAATTTCTCCAGATAAATGTCATACTGCTTTTGTAATTCTTCCTCAACCTTCTCATACTCATCCATGAAGCATGGCCTAAAACAAACAAATGAAATAAAAAGGCAAAGGTGAATTCATATGCTGTAGTTTGAAATGGGTATTCACAGTTCCAAACTCCAAGATGGCTTTCTTTGGAAACACTTAATTAGAGAAGGTCCTTCACTCTTTTAACTACTTAAAAATATTTTCCTTTCTTGTTTCTCCCCACAAAATGAAGATACTTCTTTTTCATCATAAGATGTGCTCTTTGTAAAAACCTGAAATAATCCTGAAAGTATGAAGAACGATGTAAAAATTACCAATAATCCCATCACCAGGTATAAGTGCTTGATATCTGACACATATCCTTCCAGACTATAGGTAGGAATGCATTTTAAACAAAAATTAAATATACCAAGAAGTTTTATAACCTTTTTTTTTAAATTTCAATATAGCATAATGTCAATATAGTTAAAAATAATCAGGCTGGGCACAGCGGCTCACATCTGTAACCCTAGCACTTTGGGAGGCTGAGGTAGGAGGAGGCTTGAGCCCTGGTATTCGAGGCTGCAGTGAGTGAAGATCCTCTGACCTAGCACCCCAGCCCTCCAGCCTGCATGACACAGCCAGGCCCCATCTCTAAAGACAAAAAAATCACATTCCAGACACATCTCTCAAAATCAACAAAATAAATACATATAATTATCTTATTTGGGTATAATGTTTTACTGTAGGCAGGACACAGTGGATCATGCCTGTAATCCCAGCACTTTGGGAGGCGTAGGCGGGCGGATCACCTGAGGTCAGGAGTTTGAGACCAGCCTGGCCAACATGGTGAAGCCTCGTCTCTACTAAAAACACAAAAATTAGCTGGGTGTGGTGGCACATGCCTGTAATCCCTGCTACTTGGAACGCTGAGGCAGGAGAATCGCTTGAATCCAGGAGGTAGAGGCTGCAGTGAGCTGAGACTGCGCCACTGCACTCCAGCCTGGGTGACAGAGCGAGACTCCATCTCAAAAATAATAATAATAATAATAATAATAATGTTCTGTCAGGATATTACAAATTTTAAGCAGTCCTCTAAAAAGAGGACCATAGGCTGTTATAAATTAAAGCTGTTGTTTTGTTTTTTTGAGACAGGGTCTCATTTTGTCACCCAGGCTAGAGTGCAGTGATGCGATCATGGCTCACTGCAGCATCAAATGCCTGGGATCAAGTGATCCTCCTGCCTCAGGCCCCCAAGTAGCTGGGACTACAGACATGTGCCATCATGGCCTGGCTATTCTCTATATTTTTTGTAGACGTGAGGTTTAGCCATGTTGCCCAGGCTGGTCTTGAACCCGAGTTCAAGTGATCTGCCCACCTTGGCCTCTCAAAGTGCTGGGATTACAGAGTGAACCACTGTGCCCAGCCTAAAGAGGTTTTTTTTTTTTTTTTTTTCCCCCATTTATTTTATTGCATTTTAGGTTTTGGGCCTAAAGAGGTTTTTAAACAATAAAAAAAATTTTTAAAAAGGCCAGGTACAGTGGTTCACGCCTGTAATCTCAACATTTTGGGAGATGGAGATGGGTGGATCACAAGGTCAGGAGTTCAAGATCAGCCTGACCAAGATGGTGAAACCCCATCTCTACTAAAAATACAAAACATTAGCCAGGTGTGGTGGTGGGCACCTGTAATCCCAGCTACCTGGGAGGCTTAGGCAGAGAACTGCTTGAATTTGGCAGGGGGGGGTTACAGTCAGTCAAGATTGTGCCACTGTACTCCAGCCTGGACAACAGAGCAGGACTCCATCTCAAAAAAAAAAAAAAAGGCCAGGCACTGTAATCCCAGCATTTTGGGAGGCTGAGGCAAGCAGACCGCCTGTGGTCAGAAGTTCGAGACCAGCCTGGCAAACATGGTGAAACCACATCTCTACTAAAAATACAAAAATTAGCTGAGCATGGTGGTGCCATGCCTGTAATCTCAGCTACTCAGGAGGCTGAGGCAAGAGAATTGCTTGAACCAGGGAGGTGGAGGTTGCAGTGAGCTGAGACCATGCCACTGCACTCCAGCTAGAGCAACAAGAACGAAACTCTGTCTCAGAAAAAAAAAAAAAACAAAAAAAACCATAAAAATCGATTTCAACTGGTTTGGTGAACTTTTTTTTTCTTATTATTGACCTTAAAGGGAAAACTCTACTCTTTTAAAAATATAAGCAGATAAACTAAGAAATAATTATAATCTTTTGAACTAGGGCAAAACAAAGAGACTTTTCTGTTAAAAGGATTTGTAGCTTAACAAAAATGAATTGATGCTTTAAAGATGGAATGTGTCAACCAGATAAATCTATATGGTGGCACTGACTTTTTTTTTTTTCTCTTCCATGAGGCTCCAGAGGTAAAGCACCGGTTTCGGGAGGGGAAGGAAGGGCCTGGGCCTTGCACTGGGCAGGGAGGAGCGTGGCCGCTCCCTGTGGTTGCTGTCGCTGCTTCCAGGTGCTGGCTCCCCACAGATCTCAGGATAGTGGCCAGGGTGGAGCCAGCCACCAACATCCAAATAGGCAAAACACATTCAAGCAGAGGAGGCAGCTGGGAAGAGGAAGGAGCCATGAGAGAAAGAAAAATAAAGGGAGAATGAAAAGGGAGAAAGAGCAGCAGCATGGGGGAGGAAAAGACGAAGACACAGCAAGGGAAAGAGGCACAGAACGAGGAAGACAAGAGAGAGAGAACCCCAGAAACGCGAGGAACACATGGAAGAGGTACCACTATTCTCCATCAGTATTCCCGGGAAATTTATTTCCAATGAGGTAAAGTAGGAAGAAAGATGAATTACTGACTAATGAAGAATGACCAAGGTTTAAATAAAGTCTCAAATCTATGCCAAAAAAAGGGCAGGAGTATGTTTCTGTTTCTACCTAATTTATGGCAAGCTCTTAGGAGACCAAGTCTGGATTTCCCCGTTTGGATTCACTTACTCTGCCTTCAGTTCCAAGAAGCTGTAAAAGCTTAAAGGGCAGTACAAGCATTAAGTGGCCTTCCAGACATATTGCAAGCAGTAAAGAGAATGAGTTTAGCCATCTGCTTGTTAGGACAGGCAACACATGTACATTTTGAGGTGAATATATCCTTACGTAAGGCTTTTTTCATCAGTTGAGAACTTAAGATCACATTGTATTCTCTTAGTTTTTGTTCTAACTTTTGTTTTTCTTTTAGAGTCAGGGGCTCATTCTGTTGCTCAGGCTGGAGTGCACTGATACAATCATAACTCACTGCACCCTCAACTTCCTGGGCCCAAGCAATCCTCCTGCCTCAGCCTCCCAAGTAGCTGAGACTACAGGTGTGTATCACCATACCTAGCCAATTTTTTAAAATTTTTAGAGATGGGGTTTCATTATGCTACCCAGGCTGGTCTCAAACTCCTGGGGTCAAAAGAACCTCCCACCCCATTCTCACAAGTAGCTGAGATTTCAGACATGAGCCACCATGCCCAGTTTGTTTTAACTTTCCAGGACATCTTTCTATTCATTCTCCAAGTGTTCATATCTACCTGACACTCTGCAGAGTCTCTAGTCGCTTCCGATTCCTTTCCAGTTCTAATTTTCTCTTTTCAATTTTGGCTTCTAAATTAGCTTCATCAGAGGCCACATTATTGAGCAGGTCTTTAGTCTTCTGAACCTGTGTCTATATTTAACAGGAAATAATGAGACGATGTGGCAATAAAAACAGCCATCCTACCTCTTAGAACAACTTTGGAACTCTTCAGGCATAGCAACATTACGCTAAACAAACACAAAAGCAAACAAATAAAGCAGACACTTCCTCAAGCAATGACTCACTTAACCCACTAGTTACAGGGAGAATGTCACGCAGGTCCAGAAAAAGTTATCTTTTCTTCCCCACCCCCATGAAAAGATGATGTTTCTGCCGAGGGAAAGACGTGAAGATGGAAAGAAGAGCATCCTGGTCAAGGGAGGACTGCAGTCTTTCGTCTGGCTCGCTTGGCTAGAACAAGGTACACATTACTCTGGACAGTCAGTCTGCCTTATCACTCAGGCCATGCCCTCAGTTGTAAACACCCGAGTTACACAATACAAGCACACCAAGTACTGCTCTACAAGGAAGGGAGAGAAAGCAACAGCTGGTCTCAGCCCTAACCCACCACCTGCTGGCATTGAGAGAAGGTCCCTCTTCCCTCTCCCTGGCAACAGAAACTTGACTACAGACTGAAAAAAAAGGAGAAAGCACTCTGAAGTCAGTACAAAAGCAGCTCCTGCAGTGGCACTGGCCACACTTGTGTGCACCAGCTCTGGAAGGGGCGCAGGGCAACAGTCGGACAGAGGCCCTTAGGCAACAGAGGCTGAGTAAAGAAGGGAAAGGGGACACAAGACCACTGACAGTGACACAAGTCTCCCTATCCTCTTCTAAGAGAAGGTTTATCTGAAGCAAGCAGAGTCATAGGTAGCACACTGTCTTCACATGCGTCTTGTCTGATGGCCGGCCAGGTCGCGTGCCTTGGTTCAGAGCTCCGATCTCTTCATGAGAAATCTGGACTGCCATCCAGCTGAGCATGCAACTGCCTCACCGGGTTCTGGCTTTCCAGCCCTGCATTAAGCTCCTAATGGCCAAGATGGGGCACTTTGCCTATGGGTAGCGTCCCATAAAGAGGTTACTCACTGTTTTCCTGCAGGTCTCTGAAAAGCTATGGGCTCCACAGAGAAATGGCCTAAGAAGCTCAGGCACTCTCCATGATTCTCAGAGATGGCGTGTTTTGGAAGCAGCCACTGTTATGGACAACGCATTTATGGTCTGATTTTTTTGGTCTAAGTACACTAACCATTTCTAAGATACTTTCATTAAAATAATCATATCCTTATTCATTTGCTTCAAGTGCCTTAAAGCCCCCAGGAGAAATGTGAGCTCACCCTCACAGAAAGAGAGGTGGGTCTCCTTTCTGAACAACTTGAGTTAATTGCAACTATTTCCCTGAACCAAAGTCAGATTAAAACCTAATGAATTTATCTGACCTTAAACATACCTGTTTCTCAAACAAGAAACATCCACAGTCCAAAACAGTTGTGTAAACAAACAATTTTCTCTGGTTTCGGAAATAAATGACCTATACTTCCTAACCCTTTTTAAGTACCCATGTTTTTGTTTCTGTTTTGTTTTTAGAATGATCAAACATCATAGATATTTTCCAACAATGCAAGGTGTCTTAAGAGATGTCTGTAAGAAATGAACCCTGCCCTCTCTTGGGTGTTCCACTTTTAACATATTAGTGCTAAGGGCCGATTGATGCCGTGTTCACCTGATTCAGTTAGAACACTGGCAAGCATAAGAATATAATTTTTTTTTTAATTTTTTTTTTTTTTTTTTTGAGACGGAGTTTCACTCATGTTACCCAGGCTGGAGTGCAATGGCGCGATCTCGGCTCACCGCAACCTCCGCCTCCTGGGTTCAGGCAATTCTCCTGCCTCAGCCTCCTGAGTAGCTGGGATTACAGGCACGCACCACCATGCCCGGCTAATTTTTTGTATTTTTAGTAGAGACGGGGTTTCACCATGTTGACCAGGATGGTCTCGATCTCTTGACCTCGTGATCCACCCGCCTCGGCCTCCCAAAGTACTGGGATTACAGGCTTGAGCCACCGCGCCCGGCCTTAATTTTTAAATTTAGAAACAATCTAAAGTTTACAGAAAAGCTGTTGTAAAATACAAAGCGCTTTTCCTAACCTAGGTGACAGGAAGTTGCTGACCAGATGTTCCAACACCCTGAATACTTTACTGTATATTTCCTACATATAAGGACTTTCTCCTACATCCTCACAATACAATCAAAACAGGAAGCCAGTACTGACACACTACCACCATCTAACCCCAGCCCCATTCCACTGTCCCCACTTGTCCCTGTAAGGTCCCAACAGCAGACAGGAGCCACCTATGTGTCCAGTCATCAATCTCCATAGCGTCCCTCAGTCTGAAATGCCCCTCAGCTTTCTTTGACTTTCAGGACCTTTTCCCTTTGGGAGCATACAGGCTGGTTAATCTGTAGAATGCCGCTCAATCCGGCTTTGTCTCATTAGAGTCAGGTATGCATCGTTGGCAGGAATACTCACAAGTGACCACATCGTAACAGGCATGCATAATTTTGATTCGTTCTGTAATGATGTTCACTTTGATCACTTGATTAAGGGGGTAACTGGCAGGCTTCTCCCTGAGACTCAGCTCTTTTCCCCTCTGTAATTAGTAAGTATTCTGTGGGCCAGGCATGGTGGCTCACAACTGTAATCCCAGCACTTTGGGAGGCCAAGGCAGGCACATCACCTGAAGTCAGGAGTTTGAGACCAGCCTGGCCAAACATGGTGAAACCCCATCTCTACTAAAAAAACAAAAATTACAGGGATGCATGCCTGTAATCCCAGCTACTTGGGAGGTTGAGGCACGAGAATTGCTTGTACCTAAGAGACAGAGATTGCAGTGAATGAGATGGCGCCACTGAGCTCCAGCCTGGGCGACAGAGTGAGACATCATCTCAAAAATAAACAAATAAATAAATTTTTAAAAGTACAATAATTAGCCAGTTATGGTGGTGTGCACCAATAATCCCAGCTACTCAGGAGGCTGAGGCACGAGAATCACTTGAACCCGGGAGGCAGAGGTCGCAGTGAGCTGAGGTTGTGCCACTGTATTCCAACCTGGGCAACAGAGTGAGACTCTGTCTCAAAACAAAAGGAAAAAAAAAACTACTTCGTGGAAAGCTATTTTGAAACTGCATGAAATGACCTGCTCCTCCTCAGCTTTCAAAATTCATGTATTTTTTCATGCCAGTAAGAACTCATGGTTTCCTATTTCATTCTATTATACCATAAAATTAATTACTCTTAACTTATTTAATTTGATGCTTTAAAAGCCTATGATTTTTAGAATTTTGTACAACTCATAGCAAATTCTTGTTTTTTTTTTTGGAGACGGAGTTTCACTCTTGTTACCCAGGCTGGAGTGCAATGGCGCGATCTCGGCTCACCGCAGCCTCCGCCTCCTGGGTTCAGGCAATTCTCCTCCCTCAACCTCCTGAGTAGCTGGGATTACAGGCATGCGCCACCATGCCCAGCTAATGTTTTGTATTTTTAGTAGAGACGGGGTTTCACCATGTAGACCAGGATGGTCTCGATCTCTTGACCTCGTGATCCACCCGCCTCGGCCTCCCAACAAATTCTTGTTTTATGCCTACTCCAAATTTACATAGGGGCCCCCATCGTCTGTGTCCACTGAGTAAAATAAATCACCAATGATGACTGAAGCTCTATTGTGGATCAGAGATGAGGCTTAATATGCCCTGTGGTGATTAATGTTTATAAGGATCCCATACAGTTGGCACTGCAGTTCTTACCATTTTACAGATGAGGAAAGTGAGGCACAGAGAGATTAAGTAAATTGCCTAAGATCACACAGTGGAATTCAAACCCAAGCAATCTGAGTCTAGAGTCATTCTCACGATTTGCCTTCCAACTGATTGCTTCTAGATGAGACAGTAACTGATGTGGGTGAGCAGTAAACAATGGTGATCCATCTACTTATTACAGTGCTGTTTAGAATTTAGAAAACCGTGAAATCATTTAAATACTAATCAGTGAGGGAGTGGGTAAACAAAATAAACACAGGATTATTTATTAAAATTATTGAAGAATTAAAAATTATCAAATTACTGAAACTGACAAATTTTTAATAACATGAGAAGCCGTTCTTATTTATAATGGGAGGAAAAAAAACGAGAGTAAGTCACCTAGGTAGGCTCGAATGTCCTCTAAATTTTTCATTTCCCCACTAACACATCCCTTGTTACTAAGCCTGGCTTGTTCTGTCTTGTATGAGCAAGAAATGAGTATTTTTGAGTCCCAGGCATAAAAAACATTATATAAAGGCAAAGTCATCTTACCAAAATCTCTTTTATTGCAATTTTCATCACTTTTTCAGTCTCATTTATTTCCAAAGGTCTGGCAATGGCTTCTGTTCTCATTTCCTAGGGGAAACAGTAAAATCATTTACATATATTTTCAGAAAAGGAGTTCTCAAAACCAATATTCCTAGATCTCGATGTGCCTTATGGACTGATTACCCAAAGTTTCATTACAATGTGGATCTCTGATGCAAAAACACTTCCACCATCACCTCCTATAATGTCTTCCATTATCTGAGTGCCCATCCAGCCTCTCTCCAGAGCTCAAGGTGCTACTCTTCAGCCAGAGGCCCCATGTGCCCCCAACTCTATGAGCAAAACTGAACTTAGCATCCATTATCTTTTCTCTGAAATGTGCTGCTGCTTTTTTTTTTTTTTTTTTTTTTTTTTTTTTTTAATAGATTTAGGGTCTCACTGTTGCCCAGGCTGGTCTCAAACTCCTGGGCTCAAGTGATCCACCTTCCTTGGCCTCCCAAACTGCTAGGATCACAGGCATGAGCCACTGTGCCTGGCCCCAAATTTGCTTCTTGACCTGATTCTGTCCAGGTGACTCCCAAACTAAGCACAGTTCAGCTTGCTGTCAGGATCCCCTGCCAGCCTCTATAATCTTTCTTAGGATGAAGTCCCTCTCAGTTGCCTATCACTAACAAACACAACTGGAAAGAACAATTACCATGGCCCTGCCCCTAGCATGAACCATTAACCAAATCAAAGGAGACGTGTGACTATCATATCAGTGCTGAAAACTTCTGAGACATGGGATTTTAATGTGGATATATTTATGAGGTTTTCTATAGACAATGTCTGTGTGACCCCAACTCTAACCCACAATGTAATGATGTTAGGAGATGAGTTGAAATTCTAACCCACAATGCAATGATGTTAGGAGGTGAGTCCTTTAGTGCATGATTAGCTCACAAGGGTGGCACACTCAGGAGCGGGATTAGTGACCTCATTAGAGAAACCCTGGGGAGATCCCTCTCTCCTGCTGCCATGTGAGGACTCAGCAACAAGGCACCAACTGTGGGGAACGAGCCCTTCTCAGACACCAAATCTGCTAGTGCTTTCATCTAGAACTTCCCAATCTCCAGAACTGTGAGAAACAAATGTTTGTTATTTACAAGTCACTCAGCTTATTGCGTTTTGTTACGGCAGCCTGAATAGAGTAAGACAAGGTTCCTGGAGCACCGCGTCAACATTGGTCTTGTGCTCCCTTTCTTCTATGGTGCATGTTTGCACGCTGGTGGGAACACGTGAGAGCAGGGTGAGGACTTAGTCAAGGAGGCAGAGCTCATGCCTTGCCTGTGGCTGGTGCTGCTCCTCAGTAAATGTTTACCGAGTTAAAGATTGGCTAGGGGCTCTTCCTTGGATCATGACTACACACAGAATTTGAAAAGTACTATATTCAGGGTCTCACGATTTCTTTGGGAACAGTTCAGCCACTGGTTACTTCATCATTCTTTACAGGACAGTGTTGAAAGAGTCCCCCTGGGATGGAAGTGAAGTCTCACAGTAATGCCACAGCTCCAGCGGCAATCAGCAAGTAGCCAGCTCCTGTCTCTGAGTCTCTTAAGGACATGTACAGACAAACATACACCACTGCACTACAAACAGAACACAGGGAAAGCCTGGAGTTGCCTTACTCGTCATCTGATTTAGCGAGCAGATGTCAGTGGCAGTTTCGTTCTGCCAATCACACTATACTGGGTGGCAACTGCCAAGTCAATATACGATAAGCAGGGATAGTGACCTGGCACCCAAGTCCCTCTTCCCCAGACTTCCACTTCCGGTTTGCTCCCAGGGTATGCCAGAACACAGACAAGGCAGTGAGAGAGAGAAGCCATGGCTGGCATTCCTGATAGGAAGTGAATGAAAGAAATTCACTTAATCTTAAAGCATTAGACTGAGCATGTAAACTTCAAATGCCATAAATCTTTATAGGTAAGGATTAAACACTACTCCACTCTAGGCCTGGAGCAGTGACTCATGCCTGTAATCCCAGCACTATGGGAGGCTGAGGCAGGCGGATCACTTGAGGTCACGAGTTTGAGACCAGCCCGGCCAACATGATGAAACCCTACCTCCATTAAAAATTCAAAAATTAGCCAGGCATGGCGACATGCACCTGTAATCCCAGCTACTCAGGAGGCTGAGGCAGAAGAATCAGCCAAACCTGGGAGGCAGAGGTTCCAGTGAGCCGAGATCGAGCTACACTCCAGCCTGGGCAACAGAGCGAGACACTGTCTCAAAAAAAAAAAAATAAATAAATAAAAAATAAAAAAAATAAAAAATAAACACTACTCCACTCTTAAATAGCTGCTTAAATGTAGGTGATGGCACGTACTTCTTGGCTGACATTGGCTGGAATAAGGATTGCAAATCAAACCAGTCTCCATTGCAACATCAACTTCAGCTGACTGGAATTGACGCCAAGATCACCGGTCTCAAATTCTGCTGTTAGAATCATGGGGGGAAATCTGAAAATTCCCCATGCCCAGGTCACATTCCATAAGGAGGATCTCAGAGTGAAATCCAGGCTTCAGGAGTCTTTAGAGATTCCAGAGTATTTGCACTGCACAGCAAGGTCTGGGAACTGCAAGCTCCAAAGAGAATTTTTGAGAAGAATGCTGAGGCAGAGTACACCAAAAGAAAGCATCATGGTCAATAAAGTGTGCCAGTGGCCACAAGGACAGCTTCATCGCATGCTATGTACCTGCCGTTCCTGAACAAGAAGTTAAAGGTAGACCAGTGCCCACCAGAAGCAGGAAGGGCAGCTAACATCCTGTATCACCTTTCCACATGTTAGCTCATTCAACCAGGTGTATTTCATTAAACGACAACTGAAAAGGGAGAAACAGAATTGAAAAAGAAAACCCTGAAGAGAAAATCTGCATAGTTATGGAAGTACTGCAATGCTTACCCTCAACTCTACTTCCATGCCGAGCAAGTCATACAGGGATGCTCCTTTGGAGGTGATTTCAGAAGCAAGCTGCCTGGCTGCCTTCAAATCTGCAATCTGGAAGGAAAATATCAAAAACAGAAACCTCAGCAACAGATTTTTTTTTTGAGACAGAGTCTCACTCTGTCACCAGGCGCCAGGCTGGAGTGCAGTGACACGGTTTCGGCTCATTGCTACCTCAGCCTCCCGGGTTCAAGCAATTCTCCTGCCTCAGTCTCCCGAGTAGCTGGGACTACATGCGCATGCCACCACGCCCAGCTAATTTTTGTTATTTTTAGTAGAGATGGGGTTTCACCATTTTCGCCAGGATGGTCTCGATCTCTTGACCTCGTGATCTGCCTGCCTCGGCCTCTCAAAGTGCTGAGATTACAGGTGTGAGCCACTGCGCTCGGCCAGCAACAGATTTTTTAAAATAGAGACAGGATCTTGCTATGTTGCCCCAGCTGCTCTCTAACTTCTGACCTCAAGTGACCCTCCCACCTCAGCTTCCCAAAGTGTTGGGATCATAGGCATAAGCCACCATGTTCAACCACAGTTTTGTTTTTGTTTGTTTTTTGTTTTTTTTTTTGAGATGGATTCTTGTTCTGTCACCCAGTGTGGAGTGCAGAGGCGCAATCTCAGCTCATTGCAACTTCTGCCTCCCGAGTTCAAGCCATTCTCCTGCCTCAGCCTCCCAAGTAGCTAGGATTATAGGCGCCCGCCACCGTGCCCAGCTAATTTTTGTATTTTAGTAGGGATGGGGTTTCACCATCTTGGCCAGGCTGGTCTTGAACTCCTGACTTCGTGATCCATCTGCCTAAGCCTCCCAAAGTGCTGGGATTACAGACGTGAGCCACCACGCCCGGCCCAGACACAGATTTTTAGCAGACATTCAACCACCAGCCTGTTCATGTCAGCTTCTACCTTTGGTCGGGACACGTGACCACAAACATATACTTGCCCAGTGACATGCTCACAGGCTGCAGGACACATGGTCAGGAAATGATCACCTAAGTACTAACGAGACCAATTCCAGGACGCCTGGGTCTCCCCAAAAAACCTAATGTCAAATCAAACTGCAGCCCCCAACCAGGAGGCATAACTGGGAGAAAGCTGACAAGCTTCTTACCTGGACTGTGTGCCTGACAGCAGAGGAGTGACCACAGGAAGGGGCAGCCTGAGGGACACACATCCTCCTGCAGCAGCCTGATGGCCTGTGTTTCGTTCTCCCACAACCTCCTTCTTTGCCTCAGACTTTCCTCCACAGGCCTGGAGAGGCTCCAGTGGGGTAGCACCCACTAATGACTTACAATGGTTCTGGGCTCCACAGAGAGGGAAGCTGTTGCCAGGAAGGTGATGACAACCACAATGAGGATTTAGCACCGAGCCCTTCGTACAGGCTTCTTTCTTAGGATGCGCGTGTCACCCCTTCTTCCTGGAATCTGCTAACTCTTCTAAGGAGCCCGAACATAAATGTCTCCCTGCTCTGCAACCTCTCCCTCTCTCGTGGACAACTCTAATCCCCATCTTCTGGCTCTCACTTTCAACCCACCAGCGACAACTCTCCCTCTTCACTTGCAGCTGATGGCTTGCTTCCCTCCTTGGTCCTCCAGGATCCAGCTTGCTCTGGCTCTACCTGCTTTTCTTCCCTTCCTGGCAGCACATCCCCAACCTTCTTTGCAGGAGTCTGTCACGTTCCCCGCTTCTCAACAGTGGAGTGAGTCGGAGTTCCATTCCTGGACCCCCTTTCTTTTCTGCTGGCTCTGCTTCTATCCTCAAGGCTTTAATACCATCTGTGTGCTGATGCCTCCCCACCTCCAGCCGGGGCTCTCCCTGGGCTCCAGTCTCACACTCCAGCTACCTGAGCACCATCTCCACCTGGACAGCCAACAGGCGTGGCAAATGGAGCACGTCCAGAACCTTCTCCGCTTCAGTACACAGCAACTTCGTCCTGCCAGAGGCTCACACCAAAAACTTCAGAGCAGTGATGTATAATATAGTAACCTCGAGCCACTAGCCACGAGCCATTTTCACTTAAATTATTTTAACATTTTAAAAAATGCAGATCTCAACTCAGTTCCTTAGTTGTGCTCGCCACATATGGCCAGTGGCTCTTGCAGAGTATAGCACAGAGGTGGAACACATCCACCCGCTCAGCAAGCTCTGCCGTATGGCTGCCCCAAGACCTGGCCTGTAGCACCTGGCTTACTCTGAACCCATACATCATCCCGTGAGATCCACCACCAAAATATGCCCCAATCTATAGACACTTCCGCTGAAGAGTGTCGTTCCTGGTTAAAAAATCCGTGGCTGGCCATGGTGGTGCACACCTATAATCCTAACACTTTGGGAGGCCAGGGCGGGTGGATCACTTGAGGTCAGGAGTTCAAAACCAGCTTGACCACCATGGTGAAACCCTGTCTCTACTAAAAAAAAAAAATACAGCCGGGCGCTGTGGCTCACGCCTGTAATCCTAGCACTTTGGGAGGCCGAGGTGGGTGGATCACCTGAGTTCAGGATTTCAAGACCAGCCTGGCCATCATGGTGAAACCCCACCTTTATAAAAAAATAAAAATAAAAACAACTAGCTGGACATAGTGGTGCACACCTGTAATCCCAGCTACTTGGGAGTCTGAGGCACAAGAATCACTTGAACCTGGGAGGCGGAGGTTGCAGTGAGCTGAGATTGTGTCACTACACTCCAGCTTGGGCGACAAGTGAGACTCCATCTCAAAAAAATAAAAAATAATAAAAACAAAAATCCACGTGTGAGGGCAGGTGTGGTGGCTCATGCCTATAATCCCAGCACCTAGGGAGGCTGAGGCAGGCAGATCCCCTGAGGTAAGGAGTTTGAGACTAGCTGACTAACATGGTGAAACCCTGTCTCTACCAAAAAAAGAAAAATACAAAAATTAGCTGGGCGTGGTGGTATGTACTTGTCCTAGCTACTCGGGAGGCCGAGGCAGGAGACTGTCTTGAACCCAGGAGGCAGAGACTCAGGAAGCCAAGATCGTGCCATTGCATTACAGTCTGGGCAGTACGAGTGAAACTCCATCTTAAAAAAAAAACCAAACCAGGACAAAAAACCCATGTGTGACTTTTCAAGCCCGACTATAGACAATGACAAAGCCTCACCTAGCAGGCCTCACCAGGGAATCTTTCCTCCCTGCACCAGACTTGGTGCTCAGCCAGTGCACTGTGGTCTCAGGCACTCTGCATGCCCTTGCTCTTAGGTGCATTCCCAGGCCTGGGCCTTCATTCCTAGGTTCCTTCCCTAAGGCCTTGGGTACAGGTCCTCCTCAGGCACCTCTGCTGAGGCCTCCTCATGAGGGGCAGGAGGGAGGTCTTGGAAATGCCTTCCCCACTGACTCAGTACTTGGTCCTTTACCATTCCTAGTCTTTCCTCCCCGCCCCACAGAGTCCACAGAACTGCAGAAGCCGTCTGCTGGGGGCTGCCTCAACACTGAGACGACCCCATCTGCGTGGATTCACCTGGCCCTCGACCTATGTGCCGATCCACAGGGGAATACAGCATAGCAGGAGTCAGTGCCTGCTCTGGTTTAAGAGTCCTGCTTATATTAACGCATGGCAGTGAGAGAGTAACGGCTTAACCTTCATTTCTGGCGTGCTGCTGTGGTCACTCCCAGACACGACACAGTGCCCCTCCCACAAGCACTCTGTCCAAAGCGACAGTCACCCCACGCTCTCTGAACAGGCTCGCTGCTTCCACTCCTGCCTCCTGCTTCAGTCTGGTGGCAGCCGAGCAGCCAGAGCAACCCTTTGGATGGGAAATAAGCATGGAGGGCTCTGCTCAGATCCCAACAATTCCCACCTCAGAGGCAAAGGAAAAGGCTTTCCAGGCGCTTCCCAGGTGCCAGAGGGTCTGTCACTCCCACCCCTCATCACATGGCTTCTTTGCTTTTCCTCAAACAGACAAAACACATGTTTTTTTCCCCAGACAAGGTCTCGTTCTGTTGCCTAGGCTGGAGCCCAGCGGCATAAACGTGGCTCAACTGCCTGGGCTCAAGCAATCCTCCACCTGAGCCTCTTGAGCAGCTGGGACCACAGGTGTGTACCACCCCACCTGGCTAATTTTTTTCTATTTTTGGTAGAAATGGTGTCTCACAATGTTGCCCAGGTTGGTCTCAAACTCTTGGCCTCAAAGGATCCTCCCACCTCAGCCTCCCAAGGTGCTCAGCTTACAGGTGTGAGTCACCGCACCCGGCTCAAAACAAATTGTCACCCTGAGACACCCTGCAGCAACCTGCCACCTGTGCCACTCGCTCTTTCCCTCGCTCAGATCTCTGCTGGAAAGACCATCCAATCCATGAGGTCTTCCTGATCGCCCCATTTAAGATCACCACCAGCAGCGTCCATCTGACCTTCCACACCTCTTACATCATTGTTCACAGTCTGACTCCCCCAACTAAAGAGCAGAAGCACACGATTTCTGTCCTTTTTGTTCACATCTGTATCCCCAGCACTTGAATGCAACCTGACAAATACTAAGCTTTTAATAGTTCAATTAATGGACTGTGACTTTGCCTTTACCCAAATACTGATGAGCACAAAACTGACAAAATGCCCTCAGCCAAGGAGGAAGGAAAGCAGTAGACACCTTCCATTTCAGAGTTTGACAAATCAATGCTCCAAAGCTCACTACAAGGCTTCCATTGTCCTTACCTTTGAGCCGAGATCAAACTTGAATTTGCTAATATCTTCCTCTACTATCTGAGAGCCCTCCATCCCCTTGGACTTCATAGCATTATAAAGGACGGATGTGATCTTCAACAGTTCTTTCACTGCATACCCATCAGCTTGATAAAGCTTCTTAGTGTTGAGTTTTATATGTGCCTTGGTGGCCTATTTTTAGACAAAACAAAAAAAAAAAAGTTGAAGGCCCTTTCCATGTAATATCTAAACCAAATCCCATGTAGGTTAAGTTGAAAATGCCTCTGCTGACAACTGGGATACAACCTAGTAAAAGTAAAGCATTCAAGTGACTCTTATATTGTGAGTGGGTATATAAACTGGGACAATCTTGATGGAGAGCACTTTGGCAAAAGACAGCAAAATTACAAATGCACGTTAACTTTTCACCTAGCCATTCCAATTCTAAGACCTTATTCTAGCAGTACACTCAAACACAATCAAAATGAGATGTACAGGTTATTTGTTACAGCATTGTTTCAAAGAGCAAAGCCTAACAACCTAAAAGCTTACCTATATAAATTACATAAATTATGGCATATCCATGCAAGCAATACCACTCAGGTGTAAACAGAATGAGGAAATTCTATATGTATTTGGAAACTTCTCTAAAATATGCCATTAAGTAAAGCAAGATGCTAAACATCTTGTAGTGTACAGTAAGTACATCAAGCAGTATATAGTACACTAGCATTTGTGTAAAACAAAGGAAAAATATCTATTTTTATTTGCATACACATAAACTCTGGAGGAGACTGAAATTAGTGGTTATGGTTAAGTGCAATGGCTCACGCCTGTAATCCCAGAACTTTGGGAGGCTGAGGTGGGCAGATCACAAGGTCAAGAGATCAAGACCACTCTGCCCAACAGGGTGAAACCCCACCTCTACTAAAAATACAAAAATTAGCTGGGCATGGTGGTGCACATCTGTAGTCCCAGCTACTAAGGAGGCTGAGGCAGGAGAATTTTTTGAATCTGCGAGGCAGAGGTTGCAGTGAGCCGAGATCACACCACTGCACTCCAGCCTGGCAACAGAGCAAGACTCCATCTCAAAAAATTAAAAAATAAAAAACAAAAAAAATAAAATAGTGGTTATTTGGAATGGAACTTGGCCTAGGGCAGACAGGATAGAAAGTCATTTTACTCCATTTTGTTTCATGTTTTTAATTTTTTTTTTTTTTTTTTTTGAGATACGGTTTCACTTGGTCACCTGGGCTGGAGTGTAACCGTATAAATGACTGCAGCCTCAACCTCCCAGACTTAAGCAATTCTCCCACCTCAGCCTCCCAAGTAACTGAAACTATAGGCATATGTCACCAAGCCCATCTAATTTTTTTAAAATTTACTTTTTGTAGAGATAGGATCTCACTATATCACTGAGGCTGTTCTCAAACTCCTGGACTCAAGCTGTCCTTCTACCTTGGCCTCTCAAGGTGCTAGGAATACAGGAATGAACAATCATGCCCGGCCCACTTTAAATTTGTGAGCCATTAAATGTGTTACCTATTAAAAAATAAACAAAATTTTTAACAAATAATGAATTAAAAAACAAATAGAAGGAACTTCGCTGGTGAAACAGTTTCACAGAAACCCGGCAATGGAATGGTTTTAGAAAGCAAACTCAGGCCAGGCACATGGTGGCTCATGCCTATAATCCCAAAACTTTGGGAGGCTGAGGTGGGTGGATCACTTAAGGTTGGGAGTTTGAGTCCAGCATGGCCAACATGGTGAAACCCCATCTCTACTAAAAATACAAAAATTAGCCAATTGTGGCAGCATGCGCCTGTAATCCCAGCTACTTGGAAGGCTGACACAGGAGAAGTGCTTAAACCTGGGAGGTAGAGGTTGCAGTGAGCCAGGTTGTGCCATTATACTCCAGCCTGGGTGACCGAATGAGACTCCATCTCAAAAAAATAAAAATAAAAATAAACTCAATTACTCAATTTGAACGTAGCCCTAATAAAAAGTAATTCTTTCTAGTTTACTTAATTTTAAACTCCACAAAATAACTGTCCACTAACCATGAACTGGGCAATTGCTTTAATGAAGAAAACTCGGTCCTGTTCAGTGTCCACATCAGGCGGGATGTCAGTCTGGGGCTCATATCTATCAGAAAGGGAAGGTGAGAGAGCACAGGTTAGCCAAGGAGAAAGTCCACTAAAGAGAATGTGGGCAACTGAGAGGACAGTGGGTCTGTAACACAACACTCTCCAAGTCCCCAAATATGGTAGTAAGAGTAAGGCAAACTTCAAAAGCAAAATCAAATACCAAGGGAACAAATTCCCACCTAAGAACAGCTTTAACAGATTTCAAAAATCAAATGTGGGGCTGAGCTTATAAAATTAAATCTCTCAGATCTCAACAGGTCATGAAACTAATGAAAACTGCTACCCTGGCTGACAGCCCTTGACTCAGAGATCAATGCCAGGGCTGATTACTCAGCTCTGAGCAGCAGCAGAGTTGCTGAAGTTACTCTCTTCAAGGTATTGATACCAGGGGTCAGCAGACTACGGCCCCCAACCTGTACAGCCTGCAAGCTAAGAACAGTTTTTACATTTTAAGAAAAAGAGATGCAATAGAGATCTTACGCAGTCTCTGAGTTTTATGTTTAGCAAAAGGTAAAATATTTATTATCTGGTCCTTAACAGAAAAAGCTGCCAACTCTGAATCATATTCAATTTTTCACACAAAAAGAAATCTACATTATTTCTAATCCAATGTACTGATTAAAGTATGTAAAAAGGTCCCGTCACTCTGAAGTGAGGGGCTGAAGGGCAGCCTAGTCCAGCACCCAAATGAGGAATCATCACTCTCCCTTTACCACTTCCTGGTAATATTTCCATCTCCCACAGCATTCTTTAAACTCCAATGATTTTTTTTTTTTTTTTTTTTTTTTGAGACACAGTCTCAATCTGCCCGGGCAAGCATGCAGTAGCATGATCAGTGGCACTGCGGCCTCAAACTCCTGGGATCAAGTGATCCTCCTGCCTCAGCCTCCTGAGTAGCTGGAACTATGAGTGTGTACCACCCATGCTTGACTAACTGTTCTTTGTGTGTGGAGACAGGGTCTTGCTATGTTGAACAGGCTGGCCTCAAACCCCTGGGATTGCAAAGTGCTGGGATGATAGGAATGAGCCACTGTGCCCAGCCACAGCTGCTTGTTAACAGGATACAAGTGGGTCTGTCAAACTCAAACCTCCACAAACTCTTCCTTGTGCAGCATCACAACCGTGTCCTGTTTTCTAGATGGCTAATAAATAAAATCCGGTATTCACTCTTAGACGTCAATCAAGTACAGTTCTAACCTTTTCACAAGCCAGAGAAGCACTTCAGATACAAGTCCAAAATTGGGTGTTCGGAAATTTTCCATAGAGATATGTCGAGGGTATCCCAGCGCTCTCATCATCTCTGTGAAATCTGTCCAAGGTAAAATACAATTCAGTCAGTTCCTCGTCACACAGCAACTCCTTATTAAGACATTGTCTTTGCTTTTCCTTATTTCCAACCTGTTGACAGCTTTAGGGTCTATTTGCCAACTTTCTACAAAGGAAACCAAAAAGAAGACAAAATTTAAAATACCAAAAATGCTACCTCAAAAACATATATTTAAGTTCAATGGGAGAAGTAGATGGCTATACACAAAAATGGAATTGAGGGATTAGCTGTGAATCTCATTTCTTTTTACTGCTAAAAATAAGAAACACCTGTCTTTATAAAATGTTATGAAGAAAAAGTATTTTAAAATTTCAACAGTGGTTTGACTCAAATTCAGCTAATTAAAAATTATTTTAAAATGTTAATAGTGGTTATTTCTACGGGGAATGGGCAGGATGACATTCATGTCTCTGAGTTGTCTTTGTTTCTAATTTTAGTGAGCATATAGGACCCAAGTAACACAAGTTTTAAAGATCAGTTGCTGGCCATGTACGGTAGCTCATGCCTGTAATCCCAGCACTTTGGGAGGCCAAGGTGGGTAGATCACAAGGTCAAGAGATCAAGACCAGCCTGACCAATATGATGAAACCCCGTCTCTACTAAAAATACAAAAATTAGCTGGGTGTGGTGGCGGGTGCCTGTAATTCCAGCTACTCAGGAAGCTGAGGCAGGAGAATCACTTGAACCCAGGAGGCAGAGGTTGCAGTGAGCTGAGATCACGCCACTGCACTCCAGCCTGGGCAACAGATCAAGATGCTGACTCAAAAAATAAAAATAATAAGAAAAGATCAGTCATGTTGTATTTAAACATATCTTTTTTTTTTTTTTCTTTGAGACAGAGTTTTGCTCTTGTTGCCCTGGCTGGAGTGCAATGGTGCCATCTCAGCTCACCACAACCTCTACCTCCTGGGTTTAAGCGATTCTCCTGCCTTGGCTCCCTGAGCAGCTGGGATTACAGGCATGTGCCACCATGCCTGAGTAATTTTGTATTTTTAGTAGGGACGGGGTTTCTCCATGTTGGCCAGTCTGGTCTCAACTCCTGACCTCAGGTGATTTGCCTGCCTCAGCCTCCCAAAGTGCACCCAAACGAGAACTCTTATAGTGGCTGAACTACAGAACCATATTTAGATTATAAAACAGATTAAGAAAAGGTAACGCGGTATGGCATGGTGGCTCACGCCTATAATTCCGCACTTTGGGAGACTGAGGCGGGTGGGTCACCTGAGGTCAGGAGTTTGAGACCACCCTGGCCAACATGGTGAAACCCTGTCTCTACTAAAAATACAAAAGTCAGGTGAGTGTGGTGGCAGGTGCCTATAATTCTAGTTACTGGGGAGGCTGAGGCAGGAAAATTGCTTGCATCTGAGAGGCAGAGGTTGCAGTGAGCCAAGATCACACCATTGCACTACAGCCTGGGCAACAGAGCAAGACTCTGTCTCAAAAAAAAAAAAAAAAAAGAAAGAAAGAAAAGAAGGCAGCAGACTTTCCTTCACACAGTCAGGCATTGCCTAAATACTTCTGACCACTATGTACTACTCAAGTTCTCTTCATGCTGTGTTGTTATTGTCAAATGGAGACTAATTTGAGTAAGATCCTTACCATACATTGCACAACTTCACAGCATTCATTTAAGGTCAAAATATTCCGAAATTGCCTGGGTGTGGTGGCTCACGCCTGCAATCCCAGCACTTTGGGAGGCCAAGGCAGGCAGATCACAAGGTCAAGAGTTCGAGATCATCCTGGCCAACATGGTAAAACCCCATCTCTACTAAAAATACAAAAATTAGCTGGGTGTGGTGGCACACGCCTGTAGTCCCAGCTACTCAGGAGGTTGAGGCAGGAGAATCGCTTGAACCCAGAACACAGAGATTGTAGTGATCCGAGATCATACCACTGGACTCCAGCCTGGCAACAGAGTGAGACTGGTCTCAAAAAAAAGAAAAATCTGAAATATCCCTGTATCGCTTCCCAACAGAACTCCATCCTACGTTCCCTGGCAGGGCACTGGCCTCTCTGAAAAAACTAAGTGGGAGGAGACACTCACCCTGTATGATGTGTGGCCACCAAAAACCTTCAAATCACAGAGGACAGGATTCACACTTCAGGGCTCAGTAGTTACGTGGATAAAAGGTAACTAGATATTTTCCTGGATATTTTTACATTGTAGAAAACAACAATTCATAACCAAAAGGAGTAGTCTCTCTTTTTTTTAATTTTAGAATTGCCAGTCTTCTCTGTATTGTTCCAATTTTAGTATATGTGCTGCTGAAACCAGCACAGAGTAATCTTTAATTTTGAAATTTCAAGCACCAGTAATTTAGTGAGAAAATTGGCTCTTTAAGAGACTCCTCAGACCACACCAAACTGGCAATCATCTGCTATTCCTTTTTTTTTTTTTTTTTTTGAGACGGAGTTTCACTCCGTGGCCCAGGCTGGAATGTAGTGGTGCAATCTTGGCTCACAGCAACTTCTGCCCACCCCCCTCCGCCGGCCCTCCCCCATTTCAGGCAAATCTCCTTAGCTTCCCAAGTAGTTGGGACTACAGACATGCGTCACCACACCCAACTAATTTTTTCAATTTTAGGCAGACACAGGGTTTTACCATGTTGGCCAGGCTGGTCTCGAACTCCTGACCTTAAGTGATTTGCCTGCCTTGGTCTCCCAAAGTGCTGGGATTACAGGTGTGAGCCACTGTGCCCAGCCGTAGCCAGTACCCTTAGCCTCATTCTTACACTTCCCTATCCTCTTAGCAAAGGAATTCGAGCTCCCTTCTCCTCATCAGCCCTGCAGAAAGATGCAGAGTTCAGGATTTCTGGAGCTCAGGCAAACCGAATTCAAACTCCAGTATCACCTCCTACAGCCAGTGTCACCTGCCCAAGTTACTTGTCCTCTCTGTGCCCATTTCCTCATTCCCAAATACAGGGGGCAGATGATTAAAATGAAATAATGCACATAACACAGAGTGGTCCCTGGCAGATCGTTAAAACTCAAAACGCTAGGCTAACCCAACTCAAAAAACAGTCTCTAAAGCCGCAACCATCATCATGCAGCCCCCTCTCCTCGGTTTCGTTGCTGTTCATTCTTTTTTTTTTTTTTTTTTTTTTTTTTTTTTTTTTTTTTTTTTTTTTTTTTTTAGAGATGGAGTCTCGCTCTGTCGCCAGGCTGGACAAAAGAAAAAGAAAGCAGCAGGCTTTCCTTCACAGAGTCAGGCACTGCCTAAATACTTCTGACCACTACATACTAGTCAAGCTCTGTTCTATTATATATATATATATTTTTTTTTTTTTCGAGACGGAGTTTCGCTCTCGTTACCCAGGCTGGAGTGCAATGGCGCGATCTCAGCTCACCGCAACCTCCGCCTCCCGGGTTCAGGCAATTCTCCTGCCCCAGCCTCCTGAGTCGCTGGGATTACAGCACGCGCCACCATGCCCAGCTAATTTTTTGTATTTTTAGTAGAGACGGGGTTTCACCATGTTGACCAGGATGGTCTCGATCTCTTGACCTCGTGATCCACCCGCCTCGGCCTCCCACAGTGCTGGGATTACAGGCTTGAGCCACCGCGCCCGGCCAATATTTTTAATACAGATACAGGTTTTCTCCATGTTGGTCAGGCTAGGCTAGTCTCGAACTCCTGACCCCATGTGATCCGCCCGCCCCAACCTCCCAAAGTGCTGGGTTTACAGGTGTGAGCCACCATGCCCAGCCGCTGTTCGTTTTCTTTCTTTCGAGATGGAGTTTCGCTCTTGTTGCCCAGGCTGGAGTGCAATGGCGAGATCTTGGCTCACTGCAACCTTCGCCTCCCGGGTTCAAGCGATTCTCCTGCCTCAGCCTCCCGAATAGTTGGGATTACAGGCATGCATCACCACGCCCGGCTAATTTTGTATTTTTAGTAGAGACGACGGGGTTTCTCCATATTGCTCCGCCTGGTCTCGAACTCCCGACCTCAGGTGATTCGCCCGCCTTGGCCTCCCAAAGTGCTGGGATTACAAGCGTCAGCCACCGCGCCCGGCCTGCTGTTCATTTTTCTAAGCGCTAAACTAACCCAACTCAAAAAACAGTCTCTAAAGTCTCCATGCATTTTCCAATCCGGTAGCGAAGACGCCTGCAGCTATACAAATAGAAATGAGTAACAATTAAAAATTCAGTTCTTCATCTAAACTGGCGACATTTCAAGCGTCCTGAGCCACACGCGTACAGTGGCATAAAAACTTTCCCTCCTCGCTAGAAATGGCCTAAGAACGGCCTGGGGCGGTCTGCTGGGTGTAGCCGCGGATCAGGGGCGGTCCGGGAGGAGCAGAGGCCTGAAAGGGGGCTCCGGCAGTGTGAGCCTCAGGGGTCGCCCAGAAACGGGACCCGGCGAGTAGGAACGCTAAATATCTGGAAGACCCTCAGGTAACAGGGGCGCAGAGCTTACTGCGGAGGTCGCGGAAAGACATGACGCTCAGGTCCCCAGGAGCCACGGGTCGCAGCTGCTCGGTCCTCGGCGTCTACAGGCCCAGCGCTCGCCTGTCTCTATGACAACCAATGGAGCCTTGGACGGCGCACGGTCAGGACCAAACTAAACGGGAAGCGAATACGCACGCCGCTTGCGCAGGCGCACAGAGAGAGCAGGCCGGCAGACGCGGCTCAGGAGACACCGAGGGCAGTGGGCGTGGCGATGTCCGCGGCTTTTAGGCTTCTCTTTAAATACAGGCTTTGCAGACGTTTAGCGCTAGCTGACAGGCTCCGAGCACCTACTATGTGCTTGACACTGCGCTAGGCACTTTCCATATGCTTATTTCCCCCTCGTTTGTATAAAGAATGCACTATAGTTGGCTAGGTGCTGTGGCTCACCCCCGTAATCCCAGCAGTTCGGAAGGTCGAGGCGGGCGGATCACTTGAGGTCAGGAGTTCGAGAGTACCCTGGCCAACACGGCGAAACCCTGTCTCTACCAAAAAATACAAAAATTAGCCAAGCGTTGTGGCGCACACTTGTAATCTCAGCTACTTGGGAGGCTGAAGCAAGAAAATCACTTGAACCCGGCAGGCGGAGGTTGCAGTGAGCCGAGAACGCACCACTGCCCTCCAGGGCGACAGAGCAAGACTCCGTCTAAGAAAAAAAAATGCACTATGCTCAAGAAGCCGGCTTTCCCTGATCCTAGGCAATGCCCGGTCCCCCTCGGGCTCCAGCAGCTGGGCGGAGGTCGGGCTCACAGCTGGTGCCCAGAGGAAAGCAGAGCCAGGGTCTTGCGCACGCGCAGGCGGCTCAGGCTTCGCGACAGGCCGCAAAGCCGCCCCGAGCCGCGGGCATCGCGCGGATCCGGCAACCCCTCCCACACTGCGTGGGGTCGTGAGGAGGCTGCAGGCAGGAGCAGCCTACGCTCGTCAACTGGGGAGATTTCCCCACCAGGCGCGGCATAGCAGCCGGGTTTTCTTAGGTAGCTTGAGCAGGAACAAGCAAACAGCGTAGTGCACAAAGCGACTGGTTGGCATCAGGTTATTTCAGATGCATTTCCGCATGTGGGTTAAAGCAGAGGGGGCTTCCTTATGCCAGCCTAGGTAAACAGGGCCTCTTTTGTTCGTTGCAGTGAATCTTCTGTTTTTTGACAGACTGGCCTATCCCTGAGTTCGCTTTGATTACGTGGCACCTCCCACTGGCGATTCCATTCTGGTTGGTCTGGTGTGTTGGTGCCTTATGCAGGAGCTCGCTCCGAAACAATGGCCTCCCATAAATATTACTTCACTTTTGAGAAACACTATTAAGAGAAACACTATTGGAGGGGGAGGGAGGTAAATAAATAAATAAAATTTTAAAAAAATACTATTAAGAAAAACAAAAGGTGCGCCACAGTCTAGAAGAAAATATTCCCAAAACACCTATCTGATAAAGAGAACTGCATCCAGAATACTTAAAGAACTCTAAACACTCAATAATGAGAAACAATCTAATTAGAGAATGGAGAAGACGTTTTAAAAGATGCTTCACAAAAGTGGATATATGGGCCGGGGACGGTGGTTCACGCTTGTAATCCCAGCTCTTTGGGAGGCCGAGGCCAGCGGATCACGAGCTCAGGAGTTCGAGACCAGCCTGGCCAACATGGTGAAACGCCGTCTCTACTAAAAATACAAAAATTAGCTGCGCGTGGTGGCCAGTGCCTGTCATCCCAGCTACTCTGGAAGCTGAGGCAGGAGAGTCACTTGAACTCCTGCCTCAGCGGAGGTTGCCATGAGCCGAGATTCCACCATTGCACTCCAGCCTGGTGACAAGAGCAAAACTCCGTCTCAAAGAAAAACAAACAATAGGTCGCCTGTGACTAGCAAAAACTGAATGTTTAACTTTTTTTTGTCAACATCCAGCATTTTTTTAAAATAAGAGGGTAGGATCCAGAGTTAGTTTTTGTAGCCTCGGCTGGCCCATCGGCCTCTGGCGTGCTGAAACTTCTGGCCCTTGGAGCAGATGTCGGGTTTGGTGTGGCTGTGCAGGGATCCTGGGGCCTTGCTGAAATGCTGGCACACCTGTCAGCCCTTTCAAGGACTGGGGAGCAGGACGGTGCCACAACCCTTGGGGAAGTCCAGGGCCAGCTGGTGGAAAGTGAGGATCTTGCCCCCCTGCCCTGAGGATGCGGCTGTGGGCCCAGCTGGGCACGCACGGTGCACACACCTTCAGTTTGGGCACCTCCTGAACCTACATGTCATCCATTATGGTCCCCACAACCACAGCTGTTTTGTTCTCCCTGCCAGGAAACTTCATCTTCTGGATCATCCGGGAAAGGACAGAGGTAGCCAATTGGTGCGACTCACAGCCTGGTTGCATGTGAAGTTGGTTCTTCTGGCCAAAAACCTGTACAGCTTAAGCAACACCCTCAGGTAGATATCCTGGCTCTTGGGCTCCTTGCGCCAAACCTTTCAGTCCTTGTGGCGGATGTCAACTCCCATGACGGTGCCTCCTGCTTCACCAGATCTGGAAAGATGAATGTTTAACTTAATTGTTTTCCAGAGTTGTTGCACCATTTTACATTCCCATCAGCAGCATGCGGGAGTTCCAGTTCCTCCACATCCTTACACTTGATGTGGTCCATACAATAGGTGGTAACTGATTAACCAGAAAATGAGCAGTTAGAAAAGTTAAGTGACTCACTCAGTCACCCAGAACAACCTTTTCAGCATTTTTTTTTTTTTTTTTTGAGATGGAGTCTCGCTGTATCACCCACTCTGGAGTGCAGTGGTGCGATCTCAGCTGACTGCAACTTCCACCTTCCAGGTTTAAGCAGTTCTCCTGCCTCAGCCTCCTGAGTAAACCCTCCTGTGATTACAAGACCCTGCCACCATACCTGGCTAATTTTTCTATTTTTCATAGGAACAGGGTTTCACCATGTTGGCCCAGCTGGTCTCGAACTCCTCTCCTCAGGTGATCTGCCTGCCTCATCCTTCCAAAGTGCTGAGATTACAAGCATGAGCCACTGCAGCAGCACCTTTTCAGCATTTTTAAAGCACTGACCTAGGTCTCCCCAGGTCTGTACTCCTGAACCCTCATTTCCCACCCTAGATGAGGAAGCTGGCCCCAAAAGATCACCTCAAAGAAGGACTCTCCTGTTGACCAGAGCTGACTGTGTTTTATGTGGGCTGACCCCAGCAAGAGGGACCAGGGACTTCCCCTAGGGTCCTGGCCTCTTCCCATGCCTTCCTCCCACACTGCCCTTGCCTTGGGCCCTGTCCTTGCCCAAACTAGGGATCCAGGGAGGCTGGGAGTTTTCCCTGTGATGTCATAAGAACCAGTTGCCGGGGGAGACCTGCAGATATACCCTCTAGGCAGGGGAGAGCAGGGCCCTGCTGCACCCAAGTCCTGGCCACTCCTCCCCACCACACTGGCCCTTCATGGAAGCCTTGGTCTGTGCATTTTCTGAGCTGCGCATAAGAGAAGGTGCTGGGCTGCAGGGAGGAGTGCCAGGAGGAGAGATGCATTTCTGTTCCTATCTGGGCTGAAAGCTACGGGGGTGGCCTCAGGGACATGTATGCTTGGGAGATAGGAATGGCCACTGGGCCAGGCCATGAGCCCCTGGGCTGGTCACTTCCTCTCAACCCCACTGTGCAATTTCTCTGCAGGGACCAGAATATCTTTCTAGGGTAGCGGGCAGAACAGGGTGGTAGAAAGAAATTATTGAAGTCCTGAAAGCACTCTTAGTCCGAAGGCCCCAGGCTTCCCAGCCCTTCCTATTGGTTGGGAGTGGGAGGAGGCGTCATGTCTTGGGCATGGGTAGGAGGAGGCAGTGGACTGAGCCTATCTAACAGACAGGTAAGCTGAGGCCAGGCTGGTTGGGGATGCAGCCCATCATGTGAGCTGCACTCAGAGGCACGTGACTGCACTCTCCCCTCATGGCTGCTGTGGGGGGCTGGCCACCACCCTCCCACTCTCTCCTCTGCAGATGCAGTGAGCCAGGCTCAAGGACACCCTGGCCACCCTGACGCACCACCCAACATCTACGAGGGGGGCCTGGGGTCCCAGCAGCCACAGTGCCCCAGTGCCCAGGGAAGCAAGCCCAAGAACTTCCGGCTGCGCCACCTCCAGGGCCTGGCTCTTTACCTGCAGGGCCACCCACCGCCCGCCGGCCAGTGTGAGAGCCACTGGCTGGGCCGGCTTATGGCTGGGGGCTGCCTGCCACAGCCTGAAGGCACAGCCTGGACCCTGGCCCTGCCACAGGGGACTCTGGGCCCAGGTAACAGCCACTGCTCAGCCCTTCTGGAAGCACAATTGCCCAGAGACAGCCTGGGAAACACTGGTGAGCTCTGTCAAGGCAGGGCTGGGCGTGGGGGAAGAGCCCAGGGAATGGTTGGACTGGGGACTCAGATGGGCCCCTTTCCACCAACAAGCGTCCACAATGGTGCCATGCCCCAGGAGGCCAAGATCTTGATGAGATTACCCCACAGCTGGGTGGGGCCTGGAGAATCCACGAGGGACAAGGGGTACAAGAAAAAGGGAGGCTCTCTGGGAGGGAGGGCTGGGTGACTGTCGCAGCTCCGTACTTGGTGAGGAGCCTTGGAAGCTATCTCCCTTGCTGGGCCCCAGTTTTCCCACTTGTAAAATGAGAGTTCAGGTTAGATGAGGGTCCCTCCAGCTTGAACCATTCTCTTCCCTCTACCTCCTCCACCCACTGTGGATTCTATTAAGGAGGAAACATTGCCCCCTTCCCTTTTGTTTTCAAGGATATTGGGTTCTGGAAACCCTAGGGTGGGCTGCTAGCCTCCCCACCAGCCTCCCCTTGGGTCCCTCGAGTGGCTCCTTTCTCTCCTCTGTCCTCAGCTTCCAGTTCCAGCATGGACCCAGCCAAGGGTGCCATCCCCCAGCCTGGTCCTTCTGAGGGCTTGGGACTCAGGCCCAAGAGGTCCTGGGGGGCCTCAGAAGAGGCCATGTGTCCCTTGTGCAAGAGAACCCGTTCTGGGGCCCTGGAGAGGCCATAGGAATCCCAAGTACCAGGACTGGGGACAGGAGGGGAAGGACAGCTGAGGAGGCAGCCCCAGCAGGAGGGGCTAGCCCCCGGCAGTGGCCCTGCCACACAAGATGGCCCGGGCAGCGGCCAGCACCCAGGCCTAGGCCTTGGCAAAATGTGAGGGGGAGAGGAAGGAGGAGGTCCCAAGGGAGGGAGAGAAGCAATAGAAGCATGGCCATGCCCTTGCAGCGCGCTCAGACTCCATTCAGCCACTTGTACCTTGGAGGCCATGCTGAGTGGAGAATCAGGCCCCCACCAGAGGCCTGGGAGCCCACAGGTCTGATCTCAATAAAAGCCAAGGCCTGCACATTCTTGTCTATCTGCCTATCTGTTATAAGGCCAGTTTGGTCAGAAAAACAGTACTGTGTCTCTCCAGAGATGGGTCTGTGGTGCTTCCACCCTTAGTTGCTGGGGGCATGAGAGGCATCAGCTGGGGTGAGGGCCTGTGTGAGGCACCAAGGAAGTAGTCTGGGAGGGCTTCCTGGATGAGGCACTGCTGAGCTTGGCTCTACAGGGTGGATAGGGGCTCAACAGCCTACATTGTGAGCCACTGTGCCCAGCTAATTTTCTATTGTTTTAAGAGTTGTGGGGTTCTGCTGTGTTGCCCAGGCTGGTCTCGAACTCCTGAACTCAAGTGATCCTCCCACCTTGGGAGGAGCCTAAATGCAGGCCCTGGAGTTGTGGGTGGAAGACACAGTGGATGAAGGAAAGCAGGGCCAGGTCAGGGAGGGCACCAGGGAGGACAGCGGCCGAGGCAGGGATGTGGACCTGGGCCCCACCCTCTCCCCACCAGGTGATATCACTGTTCCACTGGACCCCAGCTCCCAGGTCCCTCTGAGCAGGATGAACACAGCCCTTCTCCCGGCCAGACCAGATTCTGGGCACCCAGGCGTGGGCTTCCCCTGTGCTGGGGTGCCTCCACTCAGCTCTGTTGGTGTTTGGGACTGGATCATTCTTTGGGACGGAGGCTGTCCTGTGCATGTAGGATGTTGAGCAGCATCTCTGGCCACCACCGACTTGGTACAGTAACACCCTCTTCCAAGCTGTGACAGCAAGTGTCTCCAGACATTGCCTGGTGTCCCTGGGGAGCAGTTACTGTGGGTGAGGAGCCTGATACAGTTAGGCTCTGTGTCCCCACCCAAATCTCATCTCGAATTGTAATCCCCACGTGTTGAGGGAGGGACTTTATGGGAGGTGATTGGATCATGGGGTCAGTTTCTGCCTTGCTGCTCTCGTGATAGTGAGTTCTCATATGATCTGATGGTTTAAAAGTGTTTGGTGGCCGGGCGTGGTGGCTCATGCCTGTAATCCCAGCACTTTGGGAGGCCGAGGTGGCTGTATCACTTGAGGCCAGGAATTCAAGACCAGCCTGGCCAGTGTGGCAAACACCTGTCTCTACGAAAAATATAAAAATTAGCCGGGTGTGGTGATGCATCTCTGTAATCCTAGCTACTTGGGAGTCTGAGGCATGAGAATCATTTCAACTGAGGAGGTGGAGGTTGCAGTGAGAAGAGATGGTACCACTGCACTCCAGCCTGGGCAACAGAGTGAGACCCCGTTTCAAAAACAAAAAAAAAGCGCGTGGCAGTTCCACCCCACCTCCCCACCACCACCTCTCTCTCTTTGTCCTGCCGCCTTGTGAAGAAGGTGCCTGCTTCCCCTTTGCCTTCTGCCATGATTGTAAGTTTCCTGAAGCCTCCCAGCCATGTGGAAGTCAGTCAATTAAACCTCTTTTGTTTATAAATTACCCAGTCTCAGGTAGCAGTGTCAAAACGGACTATACCACCAGGCCTCCATCCTGTGGGAAGATGACGAGAGCACCTGGGCTTGCCTCAGTGACCTTCCCATCTGGCGACTCCAGCCTGTGCCAGCCGTACCTTGGGCTCCTGCCAGGTCACATGGGACATGCCCAGGACAAGCAGGCTCCTTCCCGTCCCCTGTAACCTGGGTCCACCCTGGACAGTTCTTGTGTCCCTGGGACAGCAGATCCTGGAGATTTCAGTCCTTGGGCAGTTTTTGGGTTGTTCTGAGAATGTGGGCATGGCCCGGGGTGGTGGACACTCAAGGCTGTAGCAGTCCCCAGGAGAGGGGAGCTCTGAGATGCTGCTCCCAAGAGCAACTGTGACCGGGCAGGTGTGGGAGGCATGAGGCTGGCCTGAGGTCTACTGATGAGTCACACAGGGTGGCAGAGGGGCAGCTCCTTCTCTCTCTCCCACAACACTCACTCCCTAGAGACACAGAGGCCAGGTGGACCCAAGGGACCCCTAAAGACTGACATTAGGGGGGCTGCTGAGGGAACACCGAGGGACACCTGCGCCAGCCACCAGCTGCAGATGCTGGGCAGAACTGAGCCTGTCTACAAGCCAATAACACAAGGTCCTTGGAGACTGTTAGCGGCCGAATCAACTCTTTTTTTCTTTTTTCTTTTGGAGACAGGATCTCACTGTCTCCCAGGCTGGACTGCAGTGGCAAGATCCTAGCTCACTGCACCTTTGAACTGGACTCAAGTGATCTTCCTGCCTCAGCCTCCTGAGTAACTGGGACCAAAGGCACTTGACACCCCGTCTAGTAAATTAAAAAAATTTTTTGGTAGAAAAAGGGTCTTGCTATGTTGTCCAGCCTGGTCTCCAACTCCCAGCCTCAAGCCATGCTCCCACCTCTGCCTCTCAAAGTGCTGGCATTATAGGCATGAGTCACCACAGCGGGCCCTATGCTTAACGATCATAGCTCACTGCAGCCCTGAGCTCCTGAGCCAAGTGACCCTCCCATCTCAGCCTACTGAGTAGCTGGGACTATGGGTGTGGGCCACCATGCCCAGCTAATTTTCAATTTTTTTTAAGAGACAAGGGTCTCACTATATTGCTCAGGCTGATCTTGAACTCCTGAGCTTAAGAGATCCTCCCGCCTTGGGCTCCCAAAGTACTGGGATTATAGGTGTGAGCCACCACATCTAGACTCGTCACTTCTGAACAAAGAGTGGAGGCTCAGAGAAGAGCTCAGGTTGCCCCAGGCTGTGGTCAGTGGTCCCTCTGCTAGCCCAGATGGGCCATGTGTCCTGGTGTCCTGGCCCCTTTGTGGCCCCTGCCTTCCACTGGGACAGGCTCTGGGTCTTGCTTTACCAATAGAATGTGGTAGAAGTGACGGGGTGTCACTTCCTGAAGCCTGGCAGCTTCCCAGGAGGCCAGTGGCCCCGTAGGGTGTCTACCCTGGGACTGTGGTATGGTACAAAACCAACCCAGCCTGAGGAGGCCATGGAGGGAAGGAGCCAAGCCCATGGCCACCGCTGAGCTCACTGTGGGCAGCCTGTGGGTAGGGCCATCTTGGATGCAGGTCCTTCAGCCCCGCCAGCCTGCCTAGCTACCACCACATGGGGTCCCTGCTGCACAAATGGAAGCAAACAGAATGGCCCCTGCTTAGGCTGTGAAGCTTTAAGGTAGTCTGCTACTCAGCCACAGACAACTGTAGCTAGGATCTTATCCGTGAGAAAGACATCTGCTGCGGCCACATGCTAGCCCCAAAGAAAACTGGCTCTAAATTGGCCTCTAGACAGTTCCTCCCCAAACCTCCCAAAGCCTTCTCGAGAAGCACTCCAACAGGCTAGAAGCAGAAAAGCCAGTCATGGCGTACTGGGGCGGGAGTTGATGTGGATAAAGTAGCCCTTGGCTTGAGCAAGCGGACACTCGTGAAAACACATACTGACTATCCCTGGGCATGTTCCTCCCCCCGTGAGTACCTGAACACCAGTGCGCTGGAATGGACTGACCAGGAGTCTGTCTCAGTCCGCAAAGTATGAAGGACCCCCCACCCTGTAGGAGATCCTTGGGTGGTACGTGCAGGGACTGGGGAGACCTGGCTGCCTTGGGCTCTACCCCTGAGCAGGCCTGGAGCACAGCTGGCTCCGTCTAGGACTGGTCTCTGTGCTGTCTGGCGCATCCTGTGTGAGCATCCTACTTCTCCTTGGGTCCCACACTCCCTTTCTGCCCTCAGTGGAGCAGGAGTCTTTTTGTCCCAGCTCTGCGGTCCCGTGGGGCTATGGTGAGGACTGGAGCAGCAGCAGTCCTGCCTGGCCTCACTCAGCAGGGCCTGAGGAGCTGGAGCCCCACATGGGCAAGTTACTACTTGGTTACATGATCCACCAAGGGCCTCCAAGAGCCACCCTCTTAACCCCAAGCTGACTCATCAGCAAAGGTGAAACTGTCCTTGCCGGGGTAACCGAGGCTGTGCCTCCCCAGCAGACGCTCCATGGAGCAAGCTTGGCAGGTTAATCTGGATCTACTCACCCCGTGGCTTTGGACACATGTCCATCGTGCCCAGGTGCCTGGCCTCCCAGGGCACCAGTGTCCACCCCTACTCCATCTTGTAGGTGTCTTGGACCCTCTCCCCACAGGGCCCTTGGCGAGCTGCGTGTCTCCCAGCCAATGGCTGAGGTCAAAGACACAGGACACGGTGTAACAGAGCAGCCACGCAGGCTTCAGAGGGATGCAGGCCTGAGCTGGACGCCTGGACCCACCACTCACAAACCACGTGGCTGTTAGCCCCCGAGCCAGTTCTCCTCATCTCTAACAGGAGTAACAGTATCCCTTGAGGGTAGCCAGAAGTTTCCGTGAGAGGCTGATGGAAGCACCAGGTCTGTGCAGAGCAGGCAGTCACCTCAGGCTCCACAGCAGGGTGGACTGAATCACCCTGGAAGCCGCCTGCCTAGACTAGGCCCCAGCTCAAGGCCTAGAGGCAGGGAGAGGTCCAGACAGGGCAGCTGCTGGGGACCTTCCAGTAAAAAGAAAGTAACAGGGCCCAGCTGCCGTGCCTCTCAACTCTTCAGAACGTCTTCCCTAGGTTCACATTCTTTTTTTTTTTTTGAAGAGTCTCATTCTGTCACCAGGCTGGAGTGCAGTGGTGCCATCTCGGCTCACTGCAACCTCCACCTCCCAGGTTGAAGCGATTCTCCTGCCTCAGCCTCCCAAGTAACTGGGATTATAGGCACACGCCACCATGCCTGGCTAATTTTGAATTTTTAGTAGAGATGGGGTTTTTAGTAGAGATGGGGTTTCACCATGTTGGCCAAGATGGTCTCAATCTCCTGCCTTAGCCTCCCACGGTGCTGGAATTACAGGTGTGAGCCACCGCGCCCAACCAAAAGTTTGCATTCTTTGGCAGGGTTCATCACACAAAACCACCTGCCCCTTTATCTGGAAGCCACCCTGGGGCCTCGCCAGTGACATGCAGCTCCAGGCTGCCCTCAGCCACAGGGCGAGGCCCAAGGTGCAGCTAGGTGGGTACAGCAAATAGGATGTGACCAACTCCGATGAG